CACACACACACACACACACACACACACACACACACACACACACACACACAAACACACACATACACACACACACCTCCGTTCCTACCCCTCCCCCCCCCCCCCCCTCCCCCAATTCCTTACCCACACACCCATCCTACAATCAGTTCTTCATCGGTTGTCTCTTACAAGACTTTCCACTTAAATGTGGCCTTTCCCTCCATTCATTTCCCACCCTGCTTGTTTTTTTACCTGTCAGCATTCTCACATGAACTGAGTATTCAGTTCTGTACTTTCTTTGAAATTATTTTCTTAATTTAACAAACCAGTTTGGTAGCAGGACCAGTATTTCTTAGGTAGCTCCTGGATTCTTGATCCTTGTTCACCCTGACTCGCAGGAGAATGATGTTCCAAATTGTTAGAAAACTCTTTGTGTCCTAGGTTGTATACCGTTTTGCATTGCGACTAGTTTGTAAGAGTTCTGATTTATTGACTTATATATTTACTATTGTGGATTGCTTTCTTACAGATCAATTATCCTGCTTCGAAGTATTAGAATTGCTAGTCAACATTGCCTTGACTTTTGCACAAAGAGATCATCCTTTTCCTTCTTCTGATTCTGTCGACTCTTAGTGCCACGTACACATACATGGATGAGGCTTTGACAGCCGGCTGTATTTGTACATTATGCATTGCGTACAATGCACCAGATCAGTGCTGGTGGTCTGCATGGCAAAGAGTTCGGAGGTCATGCAGATAGTGTTTTTAATGAAAAGCAGGGTAGAAATCATGGCAATACATTATTGTATGCTCGAACTAGTCTTCTTCAAAGTTCTTTCTCCCACTGACACAGTACATGTAGCAGAAGATGCGAGTGAATCAGCCTTCATCAGGTATCTTGGGGCGGACGAGATACATGTAGTGGTGGGTAGTCCGCAAAACTCCGTGTACATGTACATGTACTTGTACATTATGCATGTTACGAAGTCATGACCAGTCTGGATTTTAGCAGCCATGATAATATCATGACGGCAGGCTACGGATATTGCTTTAAATTGATGTATAGTTGATGTTCGGTCATGATGGAAGGAGAAGTGGAGCTACGGGAGATATGAGTTGATTATTCGCAGGGTGAGGCCCAGGGTGACATCGGATGGACAAGTATGATTACGAAGACAGTTGAACATGATCATTTTCAAAGGTAACTCAAACTAATTTGGCAATGAAATACTTTTGCTGAAGTACAAAAGAAATCAAGTAATGAATAGAAGAAGTATTGTTTTCTCTTTTCCATGTAGACCTCTTACATGTACATGCATGGACCTCTTGGTATGGGGATACTCATGTACATGCATGGACACCTTGGTATGGGGATACTCATGTAGATGCATGGACACCTTGGTATGGGGATACTCATGTACATGCATGGACACCTTGGTATGGGGATACTCATGTACATGCATGGACACCTTGGTATGGGGATACTCATGTACATGCATGGACACCTTGGTATGGGGATACTCATGTACATGTATGGACACCTTGGTATGGGGATACTCATGTACATGCATGGGCACCTTGGTATGGGGATACTCATGTACATGCATGGACACCTTGGTATGGGGATACTCATGTACATGCATGGATACCTTGGTATGGGGATACTCATGTACATGCATGGACACCTTGGTATGGGGATACTCATGTACATGCATGGACACCTTGGTATGGGGATACTCATGTACATGTATTTTCTTGTGACTTATGGACACTTGCAACTAACTTGAAAGTACGAAAAAAGGCACAATTTCCCGAACTTTGAGGCTCCATAAGTACAACAAAGTGGATATATATCCCCAGGTGCCAAAGCATAATATGAGAATTTTACGAGGATAATGCGAGAATCCATGAAAGCATAATTCCTTGATTTCCCGAGCATAATCCGCCGGAGCTGAGCCTAACGGCCGGCCATAGGGTTGTGTGTGTATATGCGTGTACGTGTGTGAGCGTGTTTATTTTATTTTATTTTAATTTTTACAAAGACTTTGTAAATGCCAAACATGAGATGCAGCTAGGGGAAGTACGCACAACCTGAATCGTGGCAGTTGTGGTGGGGTTTATGGAGCTCCGCCGACCTAGGGTCTCGCACTCTTACATTTGTGGGTCCACGAAAGGCAAAACAGGAAGTAAAGTTCAAAAAACCCACTTTTTACAAGCTTCACCAACTTGTTGCCCCCAAAAAAGCGGCGTGCCAAGGCCCATCGATCGAGAACTCGGAAACTGTGATCGCATGCATGATCTGAGCAAACAGATTTTAGCACTTTTTCAGCTCTAAAAGCTCGAAAAGGGCGATATTCACCAAAAAACGCAATAAAGGGCGAAAGAAACGGGCTTTTCCAAAAGGGCCAAAAAGGGCGAAAAAAGGGCGAGCACCTTTGGGAAAGGGCTATATAACAGTGCTATCTCGAGCAAAGGAAAACCCGATTTCGTGTTGGTATACCCTGTTATATCGAAGCTCGAAGCTCCGATATGCAATTCAATGCACATATACCAGTGTATTGAATATCGGCTTCTCTTCTCAGCACACTGTCTATACATGTTCATGTTATGAATACACCAGGAACTGTACCGTATGCATGTCTACTGCCTTATTCATTTCTATAGACATGCATTCTGTATCTGATCTAGGATTTCAAACCAACCGGGCAAACGTACACGTAGATATACGGCACAACTCTTGCAGTCGGGTCAGAGCCGGGTCTGGTCAAGTGCAGTTACTGCATGTAGATCTACATAGATCTGCGTATAGATCACATGTACATGTATATTCATTTTGGTCTCTAGCTAGCAAGATTGTATCTTGTAAAAGCACTGTCATAAGTTATGATTTTCATCCTTTGAGCAACTGTCTTCAACTTTCACTTCACTTGCCAGCTTCGACACTTCACTAGCAGTCTCCAGATTACGGATTCCTAATTGTTTCTGTTCCTGTCCCTGCCCCTAACCATGTCCCTTTACCAGTGCATGTCCATGTCCCTGACCGTGTATCAGTCCGTATCCCTGACTCTGTATCTGTCCATGTCCCTGACCGTGTATCAGTCCGTATCCCTGACTCTGTATCTGTCCATGTCCCTGACCGTGTATCAGTCCGTATCCCTGACTCTGTATCTGTCCACGTCCCTGAGCGTGTATCAGTCCGTATCCCTGACTCTGTATCTGTCCATGTCCCTGACCGTGTATCAGTCCGTATCCCTGACTCTGTATCTGTCCATGTCCCTGACCGTGTATCAGTCCGTATCCCTGACTCTGTATCTGTCCACGTCCCTGAGCGTGTATCCGTCCGTATCCCTGACTCTGTATCTGTCCATGTCCCTGACCGTGTATCAGTCCGTATCCCTGACTCTGTATCTGTCCACGTCCCTGACCGTGTATCAGTGTAGTTCCCTTTGACCTTTTAAAATTGTGTTGTTGATATAGGTCTACCTTACTGGTTTCTCCTCACTCCTGCTCCTAGCCGAACATTTGTTTGACATGATACTAGAATATGCATCAAAGAGACTACATGTACTGGTACTTGATTTGCTGATGATGTAGCATACTCTGTACTATGAGATGAATTACACTAACATCACTTTAAAAGCTTGTATGCTCCTTTAGCCCCTTCCTCAGCTCACACAAGCAAGTCCATAGAGAGGTTGCACCCAACGGAAATTCGTACGAGGTAACCAGTATTTTTAACGAAAAAAGCTAACGAAACCGTGAGGTTGCGCACACTTGAACGCGTGAACTAAACGTGGTGGGTCGACGCGGCGGCCGCGCGGGTGCGAAGAGTCAGACAGGGAGTTGTAAAATATCAGAATTTTAGTACTCCAGGACAGTCCAGGTAACGAAAAGTATTTTCGTAGATCTGCTCTGTTTCGGTCAAGTTTGGACGGAGCAACTTTCGTTACTCGAACCCGGCCGGTCGAAATTTCATTGTACGCAACCTCTCTAGTAACTCGCGAGGTATCTTTGGATTGATTAGCGCTGGATTCGCAACACCTGGTAAAGTTAGTTTGTTTGATTCCTTGATGATGTTATGGCCTGGAAAGCACGATGAAAGACAAGTACATGTAGTGGTCTTCAAGCGCAGTCTTTCTCAGCCTACTCAAGCTCAACTGATGAGAGATAAATTCCACGAAACACTGTGCATTGAACAGGGACTGGTGCTTTCTTGCACCTTTGCCCGGTCGAAGGCTCGATGGGTATGGCGTGTGCCCTGGATGGCAGTCGTCAAGCCGTCAACTGGCGTCGAGTGTCAAGCCAAGTCAGTGAGAGTTCCCTGACACTGACAGACTCAGTGGATAGCACGATCTTCAGACTGTTCAGGCTAGGGATCTGACTAGGGAGCAACCAACAGTTTCCATGGTTTCGTTCCCTGTATTGTGGATTTGTTTTGTTTGATGACGTCAACAGATGTACAAGCATACATAATATCTGCCTACTCCCCACTCGCCAGTCAGTTTGTGGTCGGCCGCCCAGCTAGCCAGGCAAGCTAGCTGTCCACGATCCACGAGCTGTCCACGATCCATGACAGCTTCATTTTTATGCGGTACTGCACTGGGTAGATCTACTGGAGGATCGCTTTCCGAAATGCTTACGAACGGGGCGTTTTCGGCACGCGGCTGCGCCGTTTGCGGTACCGGTGGCCGATTGCGATCAAAACGTTCACCAACTGTTGAGGCGAGAGACAGCTAGCTCTTCATGTCTGCACCTGTACATTATTGTATTTGTAGACTGCAAACAGGGAGGTGAGAACGGGAATGCATACCCCAGTGCGGAACGCGACTAAACTTCAGTCTGTAGTCTACAGACTACACACACACACACACACACACACACATACACACACACACACACACACACACACACACACACACACACACACACACTCACATACACACACACACACACACACACACACACACACTCAATGCAGTGTACGTCTAACGCCATAACAAGGTGCTGAACACTCGCAGACACAGGTGCGAGAGCAAGACGATTGTGTGTTACACTATTATTATTATTACTGAAATGGCAGCGTTGAACTTTGAGACTCAGCTCCAAGAGATACTTGGTGTCCCAGACTCAATTTGGCTGGGATTCTTCCAAGTTGACCTGAACAAACCCGAGATAGGCCGTGGCTCGGATGCCACTGTGTATACAAGTGAGTTGGAGGGTCTCCCTGTTGCTGTGAAGGTCTTACATAGTATTTTACTCCAACAGGGCAATGTCGGGCGTGCAGCTCTTCTGCAGCGATTCGGCACTGAGTGCCTAGTCATGCGGCGACTGCAACATGAAAGAATTGTGCGACTGCTCGGGATCGGCATTGCTCCCAATCAATCTCCGTGTATAGTGGTAGAACTGATGGCCGGCTCGCTAGGTGATCGAATTGGAGTTGTTCCAAGAGAGCCATTCGCGCAAAGCCTTCAGTATCTTGTCGACACGGCGGAAGGTTTGCGCTTTCTTCACGGCAAGAACATTTTGCATCGCGATTTGAAACCCCACAACATCTTGATCACGGCAGGGAGAGCCAAGATAGCTGATGTAGGTTTGGCCCGCTCTCTTCACGGTGGTCAAGGTGCAGACTTGACAACTCTGACACGGTGCCCCGGTACGCCTTATTTTATGCCGCCAGAGAGCCTGCAAGTGGGCACAACATACGACGAGAAACTGGATGTGTTTTCTCTAGGAGTGGTGATGCTGTCGCTGCTTGTGGGACGACCGCCTTCCCCAACTGAAGCTACTGTTCTGCTGGAGAATGGAACGCGGAGATCAGTTCCGGAGGGTCGCCGACGCAAAGCAGATCTGGATCGACTGGGCTCGGATCACCCACTGCATTCTCTAATCGTGTCGTGTCTGCATGATGATCCTGGATCTAGACCAACATCGGCTGATGTTCACATGCACTTACTGCAGATCTCACTTCCCTCTATGGTAAGGATGTACTCACATGGTATTAGGCCACACTTTTTAATTTCTATGTTTCTCGTCACCTGAAAATCTAAAAACGTATGCGAGAGGTGGAAAAAAATATAAAATGACCGAAAAATAAAAAAAGTTTATTAGACCTGTGTTCACACTAAAATCCACCAATACACCATGCAAAATAGCATCCATAGTTAGCAAATAGTATGTGGTAGGAGCTTCTGTCACAATCTGAGCATGTGCAGCTAGATTGCGCACAAAAATGCCATCCTTGCATCATGTGTCGCGCAGGCCAGGCCACATTATGTACATGTGCATGAGTGCGCTGGTCCCCACATGCACAGTCAGTCAGGGGCGTCGGAAGGTAATTTAGTGTGGTACGGTCAGCCATCTGAAGTACAATTTACTCGTGGTATGGGGGAGGGGTGGCTGAGCCGGAAATATGGAAAATTAGAGCCCAAATCAGTGCATTTATTGATTCACAGGGTACTTGGGTCAAAATAATAGTGGTACGGTCAATACCGTAGTGAGCGTACCGTGTGCGACGCCCCTGTCAGTGCAGCACAGTTTTTTTTCTTTTTTTCTTCCAGACTCCTGAATCGTATGCGGGCGGGTGACGAGAAACATAGAAATAAAAACTTGTGGCCTTACATGACTTTGTACTCACTATGCTGTACTGTTAGCATACAGCCTAGCTGGGTATACATGCAATGTGTACATGTAAATGGGCAATACTGGCTGATGCATGCCTGAATGGTGCAACTACCAGAGCATACATTAGACCTGGCTTTGCCTATGCACACACTCACACAAGTACTCTAAAGGCGCGTTCGCCAAATTGTCTCTCTTTGACTTTTCCAGGAGATTCGTAATCCGGAAGAGGTGGCCTCTTCAGAAAAACAAACTCCTCGAAACTCCACAACATCATCCGATGGGAGGGGTGGATTAGTTCCGAAGAGTTTGGAATAGCCACGTCACGTAGTACGTGGAGATGGTCGATCTGATCCGACGTCCTCATCGCCAAGACAATTCGACTGAAAAACTCTAAAATGACAGAAACCGCTCTAATGGGACACTTCAACTAATCTCTTTTAAAATTTGTTCGAACAGTTAAATGAAGACAATTCGAATGCCCCCTAAGTCTTAGCTGGCTGTGCAGCATGACATTATATTACACATGATAAGGATCCTGATATTTCAGTGGAGGCGGTGCACCCTGTCTGGACTGTTACACTTCAACAAGGCAAAACACCGACGTGCGCAAAATGATTGTATTGAAAAACACAGGCCTCACAATCACATGCTGGCTGGTGACTGGCTGTTCCTATGACATCAGCCATGTGACGTGTACATGCATGTAGGAGTAGAGTGCATCTGCAGTATGCATAGTATAGCCCAGTGAAATTATGTAATCAACTGGTGGGTTGTTATAGATTTGCATAGGTCCCTTATCCAGAATGATAACATGAAAACATAAAGTAGTGGATCAGAGCCATAAGGGGTTGTCCGTAACAAAAATAAATAAAATCCGTCCTCATGCAAAAAGGGTTGGGTGGTCAGGAGTGCTGGCAGAATTTAATTTTTAGATTTTTCCGAGTCGAATTTTCATAAACTTTTTTTACTTAAGTGACTTTCATACAGTTGTTGCACTGGCTTTGCAGTGTACTGACTGTACTCGTAATGTCGCAAACACCAGTATGATGAACATGTAGTTGTAGGACGTGCATGGCCGTTGGTAGACCTACTAAAACAAAAAACAAACAAAAACCAGAAACAAAACAAACTAGTACAGTAGCTACTAGTACAATGTACCTGACACAGGTGCAGTCAGTGACCCTGGGGTCAGGAGTTCTTGTTTTCTAGCTGGGCATTGGGAAAAATCAAAATATTAATGGGACAAAATTGGGATGGGGTCGGTGGGTTAGAGACAATTTTGCACGAGGACGGATTTTTTTAGTTTTTCGATAATTACGGACGAGACTCCTAAATCCATAATAGCAGTGACCAGTTAGTACTACTCAATATACAGAGATTACTGCTCCACTTCGTCAATTTTGAATTCTTCCTTGCAAAATAATTGAATGCTCTCTTTCTGATTTGTGAAATTGTCTCGTTGTACTACACATCACGGGATTTTTGTGTTTTCTGTGATCCATAGGTAGAAATGCTTCAATTGGGTGCACGCAGAGCATAAGAATCCATAGTGTGTGTGTGTGTGTGTGTGTGTGTGTGTGTGTGTGTGTGTGTGTGTGTGTGTGTATGCGTATGCATGTATGTGTTTGTGTGTGTGAATATGTGTGCGTGTGTGCATGTGTGTGTTTGTGTGTGAATATGTCTGTGAGTGTGTATGTGTGTTTTTGTGGATGGTGTTATTTATTACGTGTTTGTCTAGTCCGCAGATCGCTATTTGAGTCAGTTTGCAGACATTCTGACCCAACTGCAAACGATTTCCACACAACAACAGGCAATCATCACCCGAGTGACAGCTGTGGAAGAGAAAGTGAACGGCATGGATGCATTGAGGGAGAGAGTTGCCAACATCGACACTAACCTCAGTGCTCACTCATCAACACTCGCTTCCATCAACTGCTCCATGGATTCACGCTCGGCTGCAGTGGATACACGCTTGGCTGCAGTGGATTCACGCTCGGCTGCAGTGGACTCACGCATTGCTGCGCTGGAATCACGTGCCTCCAGACCGTCGTCTAGTGCCAGTACTCAACGTCTGACGGCGACTACCTCACACAGCCGTGACCATGGTGACTCTATTCCCCAGTCCACTCCATCACCACGCAGTGCATCTTCTGCTACACCGCCGATGACGTCATCCAGCGCTTCCTCAGCTCCAACACAGGCTAGAGTGCCAAGACAAGGGTCAGCCTCAGATCAGACTACCTTGCCCAGAAACACGTTGTCAGCATCACCATCCGCAGCATCATCATCAGCAGCATCAGTAGTAGCTACATCTCCACCACAGAAGGTTGGTCTACTTTTGAAAGGCTTACTTTTACAAGTACAAGTTTATGCGACGGTGTATTAAATTTCTCCTACAGTCTGTTGCCCTGCATGACTGGGTGTATAGTGGTACGTGTATGACGTCATCATGCATTAGTTGAGTATAGTTTACATACACACAACACTGGTGTGTGTTCAAGTCAGAGTTTCACTATGCAGGGCAAAACCATGAGTATATATGACTAGTTATGCCACAAATGATAATAGTTTAGTCCTTTTCTTTGTTCGTTTTGCTGCCGACTCCATTGTTGTTGTCTCAATGTTGAGTTGTGGTCATCGTAGCGCTTGAAACTGCTTTGTCATGGACATTCCAGAGGATTGATAGAGCTGCCTATTCTGATCAATTTTTGTAGGGTTGTATAGTCAATAATGTGTTCCCTCACCTTAGGGTGATGTATATCCCATCATCCACTCCTTATACGAAACATGAGGCCAATGAAAATTTGGAATCAAAGTATGAAGTGTATGACCACCCAGCCAGGTTTGACATCACTACTTTCTCCCTCTATGGTCCTAGTGTTGATTGCTGTTGTTCTTACTGCTTCCCTGTATTGCAGCGTGATTACACACAGATCCGCAAATCAAGGTATTCATTCGGTAGCAAGGGCAGTGGGAGAGATCAGTTTGACAGGCCTTGGGGACTAGCAACCAACAAAGCTGGTGACCTGATCATCTGTGACTACAACAACCAGAGAATAAAGGTAACTGAACTCACAGTACATTGCTATCCGGCAAGCCCATTGTGTATGTAAATGTCACTCTGATAGATGACCTGCTCAGGAGGGTCTGTGTGTGCATTTGTAGAATTGAAAAAGAAGGATCCCAATTGGTCAGGTTGAAGATGCTCAAGACTGTCTGAAACAGTAGTAGACAATCCCTTGGATGAATTCTTCAACATTCTAAATTTTACGTTATTGCACCATCCAGTTAACCTGTACACCCAGTGAACACAAGAGCTGAGAAGTTGATATAAGCAGAATGTCATTTCTCTTCAGACGTGATCAGTTTTTCTAAACTATCAAACTGGAGAAAGGTGATCATTGTAAATCACAAAAGACTTTGAATACCTGTGACACCCCCACTCGTAAATATTTTCTTGGCCAAGCCATTCCAATTGCACATCACCACCTCAACGAGGACAATTCCATTGTTATATTGATATCTCAGACCCTGAAGGCAGCTGCCTTGCTCCAGCAGAGCCCATCAGTGGTGGTTGGTGATAGTGGGTGATCCGGGTGAAGGGATAATGTTATAATAGGGTAAAACAGACGCAATTGTGCACTTTCTACATCGAAGTGTGGCATGCTATAGGACACTGAGGCTTTATGTGATAACAGATAGTGCAAGTGTGCGTTACTGGGGCATGCTTTCAGGTCGTCTGCAGTACTAGAATTGGTACAAAATCAACAAACAAAGAGAGGTGCTACTAGTAGCCAATAGCCACTCATACATACGAGTGCTGAATGTCCAAACACTGCACACTTGTATTGTCACATCTGTTAAACCTTCGGTTATCACCTAACCCCTTTTTTTGCCAGGGCATGCCACACTAGAGAGAAAGTGTAAAATTGTGAAAGTTTTCGCCTATACAACATCAATCACTCATTGTATCTTAATCAACCATTATCAACAACCTCCACTGATGAGCTTTGTCACCATGTTGGACCAAAACGCTATCTGGAGGGTCTGAAATGTCAATATCTCAACTAAATTGTCCTGGCTGTGGTGGTGATGTGCACGTGGAATGGAGCGGCCGACAGCACATTGGGTGTGCATGTGTGACTGACATTTTTGGACGAGCTTTTCGCTAGATTCACACTATAGAACTGCAACCAAATGTTTACTACATGTATGTTTGGATCTGGGCTATGTATGGGTGCATGGTTGTGTTAACATTTGTAAATTGTATTCCTTTTTGTCAATACACTTAGATACATGGTGTTGATGGCCAGTTCAAGAAGATGGCTGGTCGGAACGGTACAAACTGTGGAGAGTTCAGTGGCCCAGCAGCCGTGCATGTAACAGATGATGAACGAGTGATCATTGCTGAGGCTGGCAACAGCCGACTACAGGTATAGTCTTGGTGTTCCAATCATGTTGTAAGGATTACATGTAAACAGTAGCCTCTTTTACGTGCAAATTTGATCAACAATGCAGTAAAGCCAGCTGCTCGGAAAAACAAAAGAGAAAACCTGCACGCGGGTGGGGGGGGGGGGCGTCCGTAAATTGATGTATTTACTTAGAGACGTCAAATAGGCGTTTCTTTCTTAACCCCCCGGAAAGAGCAGATAATACCACTCATAATAAACACCATACAGTACAGTCGACTCCACTTATAACGAACTCGCATATTAACGAATTTCGTGATATAGCGAACCCTTGTCCATGTCCCAGTTTGAAACCATACAAAATTTGACCCTTTATAGCGAAGTTACAGCAGCGTTTTCGTTTATAACGAACCAAATCTTGTAGGGCCGCATGTACATGTACGTGTAAAGCAAGTGCACCTGAGTCATACTGTCATGGTCTACATGTGCACCTGAACCTGAAACCAGGCCCAAGAATCCTGTTTCACACCTAGTACAAGTCTGCTGGTAGCTGCCTGTCACTGCATGGAAGCGCATGTTTCTGGGAGTACAGAGCATGGCTGTGTATGTGTCCCTGTCTACTCTGCCGTGCCGCGTGTAGTGCAGCGTAGTGCGTCTCAACGCCTACCTGTACTAGCTGTAGCAGTGCTACATCATGTACATGTACACACGCGGTATGGTATGCATGCACTCTGAAATGTATTTTTTAGAAACGCCTTGCAGGCGAACCCACCACAAACGCCTGTTAGACGTCTCTAAGTAAATACATGTGTTTACAGACGACCCCTGAGTAATCAACAACATACAATTACACATACATGGAAATTTTACACAAACTATGTTGTCATTGGATACCCACATTATAACCCATACAGAAGTAAATACCTCTTTGTAATACAATTTTATTGAAATGGTTTTCTTGCTGCAATGATGAGCACTTACTAACTAATGGCTCATGTTGCGAGCAAAACCTGTATTTGTTGGGCAGCACCACTGTTATTTCACACACACTCTCTCCTCTTCATACATTGGTCCACACACGTTAACACCCAAACACACACTTACACTAACATACACTCACACACGCTCAACCACCCACCCACAGAATACACACTGAAAAACCTGTGCACATACCTGCATACATCCATTCTCTCTCAAGTGTACACAGAACCACACACACTGCCAACTTATGACATTTCGTGGCCAAAGGCGATGAAAAGCTTATAGAGCAGATAACAGGTAGAAACCAGGATTGAGCTACATTGCAAGGAGATAGAATGTGTCGCGCCTCCAGACATGTGTGGCAAGCGAGATAGCGGAGTTTGAAGAAGAATCATCAACAGAACAATGAAGCAGACTATCGCCATTGTGCGGAGAAGCCCAATTCATGACCGTCGTAAAGCACAGCATTCTGCCATTAGCCGTCTCAGACCGACAGATTATGGGGATGTCCCTAGCCGAAGTTTGAGGTCATGAGCAGCTGCATCCCATCACCTGTTTTTTTTTACTTGGAGCACATCCAAACAAGTACATGTATTGGGCAGCTGTCCAAACAGGAGTTGATTGGAAATCTGGGAGGTTTGGCATTCTGGCAAGGTGACCTAGCCCCTCAGGGCAATGCTGGCCAAAACATGTTGAAATGCCTGGTTTCAAGGTCTGCTTTCAGCGGAGTCCAGCACTCAGTACTATACAGTAGGATGGAGGCTATACAGGAAAAGTTTAGATGTCATTTGGTGCACATGGACAGGTTTTGTGCACAAAAACACATCACAGTTCACAAAATGTATTGTGTCCTTCAACATTGCGCCGGCACAATTCTCTTTTAACGAGTAAACCGGTGTAGCAACAGAACCAAGGTAGAGAGGAATAGGGGCAAATCCTCTGTTGCCTTCCCTTTCACAAAAACAATGTTGCCGATGTCAGATGGTGTGATGTTCCTATCAGCCACAAGGACTTTTATCTTATCGACATTGATATTTAAGGCCAAAGAAACAGACACATCTGGCAACGTGTACAGCCCCCCCCCCCACAAAACACACACACACCTGAACACACATGCACACACACACACACACACACACACACACACACAAACACACACACACACACATCATTTACCATTTGACGCCCATCGCCGGAGGCGATGATAGCGATGCTACAGCAGAAGCCATAGCAGCTTGTGCTGAGTGGGGGGGGGGGGGGGGGACACACACACACACACACACACATGCGCGCGCACACACACACACCAGGGTCGGATCCAGGATTTTTCCAATGGGGGTTCAATTTTTTCCCACCCTACCCACAATGACGAAATGATGAGTCATTGATGACATACACAGGTATAAGAGGGTCACACGTTCGCGTTATCGGTACAGCACGACAGCCCACATGTACTGTATATTGCATCCTGTACTTGAATATGCCAGCTATACAAATGAAACTTCAGTACCCCTATTTTCAACACTCTGCAGCTAAAACAAACCATTGTTAAAGACACGCAGCACAAGGAAGAAATTTTCAATTTCTTTGCTGCAGAATAGGTGATTGGTACTTTCTCCAGTAGCTCGTCTGTAATGATTGTCCATAAATATTGTACTCCGAGCCGCCTGACGTTGACTCCACTGTACAGAAGGTTCCATATGGCAGGCTTCCTGCATCTTTCGTGTCTCAGTCATAATTGTCCCCAGTTCGGAGAAATTTTGATTATTGGATGATGGGACGGTGAATTTGAAGGTGATTTCCAAAGTTTCGCTCTTTGTTTTACCTGCGACACTAGTGGCTACACTTTTCTTTGGAGTGTCACCAAAATTCAATGGCAGCTGGTCTTGAGCCTGCCTCTTTAGACGCTTCGACGAACTCTAAGACAGCTCAAAAATCACGAGCCGCGACGACAATTACAGCACTGCACGGCCACTATTAAGAAACTAGTATTTGAAACTTACTTTTGAAGTTTCCGCAGCAGCTCAACAAATGCATGCACCTCTTTCTCCGAAGCGAACGCGTATCTGTATATTCAGTGCAGATTTACTTTACTTTGTATTATCTACGTTCTACACAACAAAGTACAATGTCATGTAGATCTACCAAGCTGCATAGCTAGCGGACCGCTCTGGCCTGGGCCGACTGGGCCATAGCATGGGGCGTGCACGTCACATGGGCATGGGTTAGTGGTCACACCCGAACTATTGTCGGAAAAAGCAGGGGGGTTCGTTCGAACCCCCGACCCCCCCCCCCCCCCCCGGATCCGCCCCTGCACACACACACACACACACACACACACACACACACACACACACACACACACACACACACACACACACACACACACACACCTGTCCTGTAGAGCCACTGCCACAGGGGTCACGTGGGCACCGGAGGGGCATCAGAGAGGAAGATGGAGCACGCAGGCTGATGACGCCGGAGATGGTGGGGCAGACGGAACCGGCGAGAACACACGCATACATGGCTGAACGAATTACGCTGCTGGGCAGTCGGGCGCGGGCCAGTCCTCGAGCACCGGTGACGACCGCGGCCTTGCACAGACCGAAAGCAGCACACACACACACACACACACACACACACACACACACACACACACACACACACACACA